TGCCGTTGAGTGAGCCTCTGTACTGTGTGGCTGTCACATTCAAAATGACTGAACGAGTAGAGCAAAAATTTGCATCAAATTTTGCGTTAAGCTTGAACATTCCTCTGAGGAAACTATTCAGGTGATTCAGAAGGCCACAGCTATGGCCAACTGCTGACTGGCAGCTTTATCATGACAATGCGCCTGCTCGTGCATCACGTCTCATGAAGAGTTCTTTGGCAAAATATCAAGTCACCCAGGTGAGTCAGCCTGCTACAGCTCAGAATTGGCTCCTTGTGACTTCTGGCTTTTCCCAAAACTAAAATCACCTTTGAAAGGGAAGAGATTTCAAACCGCTGATGAAATTCAGGAAAATATGATGGGGCAGCTGATTGTGATTGGGAGAACTGTGTGAGGTCCCAAGTGCCTACTTTGGAGGGGACTGAGGCATCATTGTCCTATGTACACAATGTTTCCTATATCTTCTTCAATAAATGTCTGTATGTTTCATATGACATGGCTGGACACTTTCTGGACAGGCCACATAATATTTTGAATTTCAGCAAACCTTTTATGAGAGAAATACAACACTTAAAAGCCTGGATCCAGGGAACCAGACTGCCTGGGTTTGAATCCCAGCTTTGCCATCACCTAGCCTGGGAAGGTTACTAGCAGTGACACTTGTCTCAGGAGGCTACTGGGAATATTTCATGAACTGCAGCTCTGATGCCAAGAACGGAATGGCCACATGGCATATATTCAATAAATGTGGGCTGTTTTATCTCTTCTGCATGTGAAGGAACAGGTCTGCAGTTGAGCGACTTGCTTGTCTATGGCAGGGTTGGTGCCGACACTCAGGTCTCCCGTTCCTGCTCCCATGCTGGGCACTGCAGTGACATCCGAGCAGCACAGGGAAGGAAACTAGAATTCTCCCTCTACTGTTGCCCTGCTCCAGGTAAACTGGAAATGCTAATTCTGTGCCTGAATGCCCACTGTCCACCATAGGGGCAAGCTGTCAGCCCAGCTCCCAGATGAAGGATCTTCTCTGGGGCCCCTGGTTACTCTGCTGCTGAAGCAGCTGTCACAGTCTTGTGCTGACACCCCTTAGTTCAGTGGTTCCCAGCATGCCAAAAGTGTTCACAGGCTCTACCAGATCCACAATCCCATGTCTATAATTCTGAAATCCAAAAAGCTCTTCAATCTGAAACTTGTTTATAACTCATTTGACTGCAAAACTTATTCAGACATGAACTTATTTGGTGACAAAACACCTAAACTGACACGAGTGTATTTATCCCTCATGGTGTCTATACTCATACAGTTCATTGCAGGCATTTAATGCCTTTGCCTGTGGGATACTGCCTGAGATCTCGTGGGATATGGATCAGTCATGGTCTTGGCAGGAAGAAAGAGATGGGCACTCAGTAAAAAGACTGTCTGTGAAGATGTGGGTGGGGTAGGGGACCAATCAGGGATTTTGCAGGAGGGAAGAAAAGGGGATTACTCGATGAACCACAAACTCTTATCCCCAAGTCTGAGGGGCCAGGTAGAGGTAGTATTACCAGAGTCCAGAGAGATCAGAATTGGGGAGAGCTGCAGTTAGGAGCTATGGCTTTAGGGAAAAGGAACCAGCTAACAGCAAAATAGCAGAGAAGAAGACTGGGAAATAAACACCCAACCTGGCATTCCTTCCTCCCTATAGATCTTCTGGTGGCACCTCTCTTTGGTTGGCCCTTCCTGAAGCTAGAGACAAGGGAGCTGATAGGTACAGACTATAATGTAGGCCACCAGGCCCAAACAGGGTAGTGAGGGTGGCAAGTGGGTCTGCAGGGCAAAAGAAGAATATCTTGCACAGTATATTATATAATATGTAATATATGCACTCTACTATCTTTATGAAACCTGTAAACTCAAGAAGAGTTGTATTTTATTAAGCATATATCCACACTTGAAAAATATTAATACATGCATGTGAAACACTTTCTAATTTTAGTTTGCAGTGCCATATAGACTCATGAACCAGCTATAATAATTCCTTGGCTACTCTAAAAGAACAGGAATATTGCACTAGAGAGTGCTGTTTCATCCATTGATTCATTATTTGATTCACATGTTCATTCAACTAATATGGTTTATTTATTGCTTTCTCTGCAAAACGCAATGGGCTCTAACAACAAAAATATGAACAGTAACCCTCCAAAAGCTTATGGTGTAGGAAAAGGCACTAATTTGTTGGAAAATAGTACTATAGTCCTGGGTTAGCAGATAGTTTTATCTCAAAGTTATCTTGCACTCTGTGGGCTCTGTTTTGAGAAGGATTTTTTGGCCACATCTGGGCTCAGTGGAAAAAACCAGACTGATCTGATAGTTATGTGTGATGTGGACACAGGATCAGAGCTTGCACACACTGCACAGTTTTGGCTAACTGTGCTTTAACTACATGGCAACCTGAGATTATTCCTACAACAGAAGTGAGAGCAAGTTTCACAGGTTGGGTTACTTTGAATTAGGAATACCTGAGAAGCCTTTATGGGGCTAGGTAGAGGATTTTTAAGGATTTACAGACAGGAAAATGACACATAGGAGCAAAAGCAAAGTAAAAGTACAAGACAGGCCAGTGTAAATGGGCTTTAGAGTCTTGGGGGTGAAGAAGTTTTAGGTGACCAAAACACATTAATGAGAAGCTGTTCTAATGAGTTCTGACTTTATGTTGTAGTAAGTGGGTTATTATATCTGAGGACTTTTGAGAAGGGGAAGTCCTATGTTTTAGGAAAATCTCTCTCCCACTTTGAGTAGGGGGAGGGTTTAAGAGGAAGGTGATTGAAGGTAATCTACTCAAGGAAGGAATCCCATCACCAGGGGAGAGATGATGGTATGAGAACAAAGACAGTAGCAGTGGGAATAGAAGGAATAGCTGTCAGACGTTTTGATAAAGAGATCACAAAACGTCTGACAGCTAAATTTGATAATCCATTGGAGAGAGGGGTCAAAGTGACTCCAGGGTGTGTAAAATGTGACTATACAAGAGGAAGAGAAGAGTTGATGAAGCTGGCATGACGAAGCTCTACTGCAGTGTTGGACATCTTGTGGCAGAGTTATGGCCACAGTATTTTCAAGAAAGTACCCTGAAGCTATTTAAAATTGTGAGTCTGCAGTTAGGAAGAAAAATTGCCAAGGAGAAATCCTGTAGCCAAAAAAAAATTCTACTACTATAATTTCTTATAGTAATTCCAAAACTCAAAAAGCTGTAAAAAGGATATATTTTTAAAAAAAAGTTGGGTGCCAAAACTGATTTGGTAACAAACCTGATCTGAGTCAATGTGAGGCTAATAGTAGACTTTATTTATTCTGCTTAGGGTCAGTTATTTTTGCTAAAGAAACGATCTGTTCAGAAAAGGGTGCTGTCCTAAAGGAGGGTGTTCTTTGTTAAATGGTATATGCACCAAGTTACTTTTTAAAACTAAAAAAATTTATAAATTCTGAAATGTATCTGGTCCTAAGGTTTTATTATAGATGAGACATTGTGGACATGTATCATTACGTACGGTATTTCTTTGTTTCACATTTTAAGAAAGTATTATCTTAGTTTTGGTGTATTTGGCATTAGACACAGTAGGTAAACAGATGCCCCTTTGTATCTGAAAGTTTGGGAGAATGAAGCATTCTTTGCAGTAACTTTTCCATTCACTGGTGCTTGATAAGTTTATTCATAAAATAGGGATCTAATAATACCACTTACCTTATAGAGTTGTTTAAAGAGCTAATGTACAGGATCCAACACATGAACATGTTGGTACATGTTAGTTATTATCCCGCCCTTTCTTTAATCAACAAAACATTTTATGAAAACCATTTTGGATAAAAAAATGTTTTGCCTTCCCAACCTTGAAATTGCACTGAAAACAAATGTCTCCCTTGATTGTAAAGGAAGTAGCAGAGAGAACCACATTTCTTGAGAACTTAGCATGTAATTGGTGCTTTTAACCTCATGAAAATAATATTATTTCCCCCTTCACAGATGCAGAAACAGACCCTGAGATGTTAGGTAGTATAACTTAGGTCATCCCCCCGTGAAGGGTAAACCAACTTCCCTTTTCACTCTATCTAGCTCCCAGGGAGTGTGAAGGGCAGCAGGCAACACACATTGTCAGGGAGTGAAAGAGTTTCTGCAGGCTTCTTTCTAGCCTTCTCCATCACCCCTCCCACCCCCAAGAAGACCTTTAGAAATAACATGCATTCAGCCCATAATAATTAAGTTTAATTTTCAGAGCAGCTGAAAGCAGTGTCTGTTAACTTGATTAGGATTGGGAGGAGGAAAGGGATGTGGGAGTGAGGTCAGAGTCTGGTTGTTGTGGCACTGAGGATGCGGGTGGAACATGTTCTACTTGCTGTAAGAGGGAATTACCTGCCTGAAAGGAAATCAAGTTTATTGTAATTTGACTAAGTCCACCACAGCAACGTAATCCGGTTCTTCAATTTTTGATGTGGATGCTTTAAATGAGCGTCACATTTTCTTCCTTTCTTCCCCAGACCACAAGTGAAGACCTGGCTCCTCTCCTTCTAAGCCTAGGCTTCCAAGACACGGTTTCTTTCTCTCACTCCATGCCTCCATGCTGCAGGCAGGAAATGTTCTTAACTATCGGATAAGCCTCCTGTTGGAAAAGTGTGTGTGCGTGCGTGTGTGTGTGTGTGTGTGTGTGTGTGTGTGTGTGTGTGTAGGGGGTGGGGTGATTAAAGGAAAAGGAAAAGAAACAAAGCAAGAAAAACTTTACTAGAGCAGTTAACTCTAGCCTCGAAGGATCACGGCCGGTTTCTAGTTTCCTAGAAACAGGGATTCCCCCCCGCCGCCCCGTCCTCATCGTCCCCCTCACCCCCCTTCGGGGCTCCTGGGCGTGTTTTCAATCTATGTTAATACGGCTGCCCCGCGGGCGGGGCCGGCTTTCCCTGACAGCCGGGAGAAAGCCCCTAGGCACCCGACGGGCCCAGCCTCCCCGCTGGTGACCGGGTCCCGGTGCTGGTCCATGCTGGTCCCCGCCTTTGTTCTCGGGCGGGAGCCGAGACATGCGCGGCTGACGATGGAAGTGGAGGACTCGGGCGGCGTGGTGCTGACCGCCTACCACTCGTACGCTCGCTCCCAGCCGCCGAGCTCCGAGCCGCGGTGCGCGCCCGGGGCCGCCGCCAGCCACACGGGCAGCAGGTACCGAGAGCCGCTCCGAAAGGAGCAGGGGTTTCCTGGGCTTGGTTGTTTCATCTCACACTAAGTTTTCTGCCAGGGCGTACCACCACCATCACTTGATTGTTGTTTCAAGTTTTGGTGGACCAGATGAGTAAGCCTACTGTTCTTTGTGTTGTCTTTGATTGGAAGTGGGAAGTGCACAGTCTCACGCGCAGAGGCTCGAGTGCGTGTTTAGCAGAGGTTAGCGGCGGAGTTGTGTTCTTAATCCAGCTTGGTGATAGAAGGCATATGCCTCATTTCTGCCAGATTCACCTTTTGAGATATTGGAGAATTTTTTAAAAAAATCATTTAAAATGAAACACAAGTAGAAAGAGAGAGAGAAAAAAAAAACATATTATCCTAAATCCTCGAATACTATCCAGAGCTGCTTTAGTAACTCCATGCCACCCGAGCTAAAACGTACTAGATTCTCCAAAAAAGTAAATCTCAGTAGATTTTTGAGAACAACTTTATTTACTGATTAAAAAAAATTTCAACTGTATAAATACTATTGTATCATTTTATAATTGCTAATGTTTATTCTTTACATGCAATTATAACATTTCCTTTGGGTCATTATGTGCATTTTAGGTTTAATAAATCAGGAATCTGTGTTAAATTATTTGATCATTTTCTATCTGTCTGATGCAAGATCAAAGCCAATGAGACTTCCATTCACTAAATTAAAAATGTTAAACTCTTAAGAAGTTTCTGTGAGTAGACAAAAATAGTACACTACTAAGGGAGATGGTTTAAATGGTCTGATATCTGACATATATTTAGGGGAAGTTTTATTTGTTTAAATGTGGTTATTTGGCTGCGATGGATCCATGGATGAATGGTTTTCTTCACAAGTGGGGAGTTTGAGTAGTGTGCTTTTTTGCATATTTTCAGTAATTTATTTTTTCTCATACTTTTTAGTTATGTGATGATGACTTTCCTAATTTAATTGACTTGTGAGGCTTTCAATAGACTATGACTTTTACTTCAAGGAATACTCTTTTGGCTAGTATACATGAGAGGAACAAAACACATTGGCATGGGATCTGTTTTGGACTTGGCTAACAAAGAAAATACTGTTTCTTCCAAAAAAGAACAAGTTGAGTAAAATCTAACTTTTATATAAAGACAATGAAAAAAATAATATTTTTCTTCCAGGTTTAGGGTCTGTACATGTTATTTTAAAGGCTGCTTCAACATACAAACTTGCATGACTTTAAGGTATTTTTGACCATCGACTATAGTGAGTCAAATTATGAATAACTAAACGGATGTAAGCGATTAGATGAGAAGCAAGGGGCCGGGTTCATGCATTTTTAGATGATCCTGCTATAGCTATCCTGTCTATAACTCCCAGCAGCTGTCTAGGAGCAATAGCCAGATTGTGCCATTTGGGCTATCTGAAACTATATCCGTTTCCAAAGCAAACTGGAGGAGAAGTTCCATTAACTCAGCATGTGGTCTTGTGGAATGATAGATAATACGTGAGGGCAGAAAAACTGTCTGTCATAGCTAGCTAGTGTTTTACCATACAAGTTGCCAGTGAGATTTATGTTGCTCCAGGTTTGCATTTTTGGTGACTACCCTGTACCCTCTCTATCGGGAATTTGGTACCATTCACCCTCTGAGGCACACATAGGCAACCACTGCCCCTGGAACTAAATGACTAGAGAATAGCTTGATTCCTTGGTTCCCAGTAAAGGCAATCAAAAAGAGGTTCCTGTGTTTCATGGAGCCAGAGGACACCATCAATCATGAGTCTGATAACAGAAATAATCAAGCCCAAGTTATTAACCTTTGACTCGCTAACTACTGATCAATACTTCCTTTCAAGCCAAGGAGCAAGATCATATTGTTCTACTTATGAAGAAAGCACTCTCTCTTTCAAGAATACCCTTTCCTTTAAATTGCTTACACATGCGTGACATATTTGTGGGGTAGTGACCAATATGGCATTAGGAAGCATGGACTATTATATCTAACTTTCTAAGTATTATTCTTTAGCTCTGGGTAGCATGGGTGCAATTCAAAGCAAGCCATCTCCTTATTTTCCAATCTTCCACTCCATCTGAATTCATATGCTTTTGATATTTTTTGGCCTATTTCTTGCACTAAAATATTATCTATCTTCTCTCTCTCTCTCTCTCTCTCTCGCTGTTGTGTTCTTCACTGTTCTCTTCACTGCTGTATTCCAAGTGCCTAGAGCAGTATCTGGCACATTGTAGTCATTCAATAAATAGTTGTGAAATACATTAATGAATTTCTACCAATATGATAAAATGGCCAAATAAAATGACAGAGTTTTTAACAGCAGAAGACGACCTTTTTTGCACTACTGTGTGCCAGCAGCATATTAGGCATACAAAAATGAACGAGACATAGTCCCTGCCATAAGAATATGGCTCTTTACTTTCAGACCAAGAGGTTTTTTATAAAAATATTGAAATAAACAGCATGATTTCAAAATCAAGAGGCTTCAGATATAAATCTGGACTGCTGGCTTCCAAGAAAAAAAAGGAAGGGCGGGAGGGAGGAAGAAAGGAAAGAAATTCAAAGGATGCAGCCACTTGGGCCTCTGCTGCTGCCTGCCAGCTCTGGTTGAAGCTGAGTAATGGCTGCTCAATTGCACACTTCTCCCTGTTAATCTTCAACACTGAAGCCGGATATCCATTGTCATTTCTTTTGGGGCCTGCCCATTTTATTTTATTAAAGAAAGTAGCCAGTGGCAAGTGTAAAAATGTACGTTCCAGTTACTCAGGTTTGAGGTTAGATTGCCAGATTCCACATATCACCTACACCGTTTACTGCCATGTGGCATTGGCAACTTGCTTCAGTTGCTTAGAATAGTGTCTGAAACCAAGGAAGCATCCGATAGTTGTTACCTGTATTATTACTATTGTTACTTTAACCACAGTTGTTGATGTAACGAGAAGAGTAAAACAGCCTTGGTACCAATTCCCAAAACTTACTCATGCAGGAAATATGCTCAAGAATACAAAATATTTGTTGGGAAGAGGAGAAATTCCTTTTTTTCACAAACATTCTATCCTTTACATTTTATCCTGTAAAGGAAAATGAGAATGAAGGATTATAAATTCTCAGTTCTGTTAAAACAAATGGTTGGAACTGTCTTTAGAATCACGTGATTTTTAAAGAAGTTAAGCTTCTACACCCTTATTCAGAAACCACAGGGAAAATGTTGACATACATACAAAATAACTTCACTTAGAACATGAAAAGTACCTGGGATAAAGCTGGGGATATCTTGTTTCAAAGATTTTTTAAGTTATATACAAATAATACATATGACATTTTTCAGTGAAGGTATAGTGTTAAATGGCCATGAGAATTTCTTCTGTTTATCTCTTTATGCCATGAACTTCCTGAGAGAGGACAAAAATAGGAGAAGAAAAGAACCAACTCTTCCTCAAAAACAAATGTAGAAGCTAACCAAGGTTATCCAAGGAATCCTAATTCTACAACAATGTTAAAACTTTTGTAAAGGGGATATTGTTTCCTAATTGTATTGTAACTATAGTGAGAAAGATTATATTGATGGAAATAATGATGAGTGGAGAATAACTATTTTGTAGAAAAGACTAAATTTAGCAAATTTTAATGACATGTTCATTGGTAATTTCCCGGATTGAAATTAATTAAAAGATATATATGTGAGTTTATGGGCATATATATACACAAGCGCCCCAAATTCTGGTGTGCACTAGTTATACTTCTAGAGGATTCAGAAATAATAAGAGAAAGAGAAATCTGAGAGAGAATAAGATATTTATAGGTCATTATTTATGTTATGGTTGAAATCAGAGTTTGCGTCTCTGGTTTCTCTTTACAGTGGGTCCCTGCTGAGTGTAGGTGCTTCCATATGTAGAGCTAGTGGAAAACATCTGGCACATTTCCTTTGATCGTGTCATTTGGCTAAACATTTGGCCAGTTGCTTTGTCCATTTTTAACCTACTCAGTTCTCCCTGATCATTAATCCTTCATGTACCCACAAAAACTTACAGAACTTAGGGTGTTATAGAGTCACTTTCATGTAGATAAAGATGACAGCTTTTTCTTCACTTTCATTTTGATATAATATTGGACTTAACAGAAAACTTGCAAAAGTAGTACAGTGAGTTCTGCATAAGTTTCTTTCAGCTTCCCCCAATGTTAGTATTTTGCCTAACCATATTTTCATTATCAGAACTGAAAAATAAGCCCTGGCTGGTGTGGCTCAATGGGATGAACGTTGGGCTTTGAACCTTAAGGTTGCAGGTTCGATTCCTGGTCAGGGCATATGTCTGGGCTGTGGGCCAGGTCCCCAGTTGGGGATGTGTGGGAAGCAACTGATTGATGTTTCACACATTGATGTTTCTCTCCCTCTCTTTCTCCCTCCCTTCCCCTCTCTCTAAAAAAATACATAAAACTTAAAAAAAAACTGAAAAACTAACACTGGTGCCATACTATTAATTAAACTATAGACTTTATCCTGGTTTCACCAGTTTTCCACTGACATTTGAATTTTTCTGTTGTAGAATTGAATTTGGGATCCCACATGGGATTCACTCATGCCTCCCAAACCTCCTCCAATCTCACAGTCTGACCTTGTCTTTTATGACCTTGGCACTTTTGAAGTACCGATTGGTTATTTTGAAGGATGTTTCTCAATTTGGATTGATCTGATATCTTATGATTAAACTGAAGTTATGAATTTTGGATGAGAATTCTGCAGAATGATTTCAGGTCCTTCTCAGTACAACATATGGGGGTTACATGGTATTGTTATGTCTCATTAATGTTGATGTTAGCTCTGAACATCTGGTTAAGGTGCTGTCTCTCAGGTTTCCCTGATGTAAAACTGTTTTGCCCTGTGTATTATGTGAGTTCTGTCCAGAAGGTATCGAGCCATGTAATATGAAAAAATAGAGTCATCTATTGAAGAAGATAAAAGATACAAGAAATATTGTACACAGGACAATGAT